ATGCATTGAATTGTTTTTATGTTTTCCATTTTGTTTCTACCTGATTAGCTTGAATTTTTTGTTGTGCCTGAAGTGTTAGATGCTTCACTAGTAAATAAGGCATCTTTTCCCTTCCACAATGAGCTTATCTAGAACAAAACAAGTGAAAGCTATAATCATTGAGAGAATGAATTAGAGAAGGGAGGATCAAAGTTAAAAGTATGCATTGAATTGTTTTTATGTTTTCCATTTTGTTTCTACCTGATTAGCTTGAATTTTTTGTTGTGCCTGAAGTGTTAGATGCTTCACTAGTAAATAAGGCATCTTTTCCCTTCCACAATGAGCTTATCTAGAACAAAACAAGTGAAAGCTATAATCATTGAGAGAATGAATTAGAGAAGGGAGGATCAAAGTTAAAAGTTTGTGGGAAGTTCACATTTAAATGATTTATTAATGACCTGGATGAGGGGATGGATTGCACCTTCAGTATGTTTGCGGACAACACTAAGCTAGGGGGAGAGGTAGATATACTGTAGTGTAGGGATAGGGACTAGAGTGACCAGCTGGAGGACGGAGCCAAAAGAAGGCTGAGGTTCAACAAGGACAAGTGCTAAGTCCTGCACCTGGGACAGAAGAATCAGCTACAGGCAACACTTCTGCAGAAAAGGACCTGGGAATAATATCATATGAGAACCTAGATATGAGTCAACAGTTTGCCTTTTTAGCCAAGAAGGCTAATGGTATATTGGGGTGCATTAGTAGGAGCATGGGTAGCAGATCTAGAGAAGTGATTATTCCCCTTTATTCAGCACTATTGAGGCCATACCTGGAGCATTGTGTCCAATTCTGAGTCCTCGGTTACAGAAGGGATGTGGACACATTGGAGAGAGTGTGCAGCGGAGGGCAATAAAAATGATGAGAGGGCTGGAGCACATAACTGAGGAGGTGAGGCTGAGAGATTTGGGCTTATTTAGTCTATAGAAGAGAAGAGTGAGGGGGGATTTGATAGCAGCCTTCAACTATCTGAAGGGGGGTTCCAAAGAGGATGGAGAGAAACTGTTCTCACTAGGGACAGATGACAGAATGAGGAGCAATGGTTTCAAATTGCAGTGGGAGAGGTCGAGATTGGATATTATGAAAAACTGTTTCACTAGGAGGTTGGTGAAGCACTGGAATGGGTTACCTAGGCTTGACAGAGCCCTGACTAGGATGATTTAGATGGAATTGGTCCTTCTTTTAGCAGGGGGTTGGACTTAATGACCTCCTGAGGTCTCTTCCAACTGTATAATTCTATGTTTAGGTTGAAAACTGTTCAGTTTAGCTCTGGAGGTGGGCAGGTATTCTTTCCCTCATACAAAGCCAGTTACCACCAGCTGATGCTGCTATACACCTGTTCTGTGATACGGTTGGACATGGCTCCTGCTAGAAATGAGTATTACTACTTTCCAGCTTGAGTGAGCCACCTGGGTAGCAGATAACTGATCTAACATCCCACATTATGATTTGCATTGTTTTGCAACTAGACAATTCACTTAGCTTTATCAACTACTTTTAAAGCACGTCTTCACTGTTTAAAAATTAATTCTCTTTTGAAGTATCATCTATATTTGCTTGCCTTGCTGATTTAGCAAAGAATCTTTGTCTAGGTACAGCATGTGATGCAGTGGTTAAAACCTGGTACTTGTGAGCCAGGAAAGCTCTGTTGCAGTTGGACCTTGGCTATATTTATCAGGGAAACTGAGGCTCACTGAGAGTCACATCTATACGATAAGCATATCTTCTGTACCCATGAGAGAGAGAGATGTTTTGGAAATAGCTGAGTCTAAAACACTTTGAAATGTGATTAACTGCTCTTACTGGAGCTTTTTGGTTGCTTTCATTCTTTTAAAAAAAGTCAGCTCTGTGTTTTAGTTCTAACTATACACTACCATGATTACACTGATAAACAATAAACAAAGCATCCACGATATTAAAGATGTTTATAAGCTTTTTTTGTTAACTTATGGCTACTGTAGATCCTCAGGAACTGCTGAAGTAGGCACTGTACTAATCATATAAAATTCACTGCCCCTTTAAATCTTTTGCCAGAGGGGTAGGTAGAATTAAATACATATTTTGATTTGGCAGTGTCTATTAAAAACAGTCCCTGCACATGGCCTCGTACTTTATTATTGTCACGCCTGCCCAGACAACATGTCCTACTTGAAGTGTGTTCTGAAGTTGCAGGCTGTGCATGGCAGTGGAAGGCTCCCCTCCATCCAGTGGGGCCCCTAGCCCAAGGGAAAAAGGAGGAGTCTGCTGCAGAGCCTCTTCGTGCTCTGGGCCCAGTGTGCAGCTGCCGCCAGCCTAGACTGTAGCATTCCATTTGAACTAGACCCCACAAATAATCATGCCTGCCCTGATGAAAAATACCATGCAGACTTTCTTTCCGAATAAACCTTCACAGAATTGGAAGTTATTCTGAGTTTGTAGCAATATTTAAACATCTATTGAAAGATAAACTGCTTAGTTAGCATTTCTGCACTTACTGTTTTAGTTCATCATTTCAGTTCCCTCCTCAGGGGGATGGAAAATACTTGTAACACCAAGAACATCTTAGTATATATTTTCAAACACTTGTGCAAAAGTTGAGTATGAAAATGGATTTTTTATATTCATATACCAATATAATCAAACATATAACTGTATGCATGTCTTGCAGGATTGAAAATCTCAGAAATGTAGGACAGGAAGAAATCTCAGTAGGACATGTAGTCCAGCCCCCTGCAGTGAAACAGGACTAAGTATTATCTAAACCAGGGCTGGGCAAGATGCAGCCTGGGAGCCAGAACCAGCCCACCTAACACTTTGAAGTGACCCACAGACTGCATCTGGCCACTTTCTATCTATATCCTGCTGCTTGTGCCTCCGAATTTCAAGGTGGTGGCTCAAGCAGGAGGATCCTATTAAATGGCTCGTGGCTCCCTGTTGCAGCGCTACCCCATCAAGGACTGGAGCCATGAGCCCTTTAAATAGGCGCAGCAACCCCAGGTGGCTGCCAGACAACAAAGTAGTGGCAGGTCTGGGAGCCACGAGCCCTTTGCTGTGTTTTTAATTCAAAGCCTCGGGCCCCAGACAACTCTGGGAGGAGGCTAATCCCAAGCCCTGCCCTTTACAGGGTGGAGCTGGCCTGTGACCACATACCAAAATTAATTAAATGGCCCTCCCCTGTGAAAATTATTGCCCACCCCTGATCTACACCATCCCTGAAAGCTGTTTGTCTAGCCCAGTGGTTCCCAACTTTTTTCTAGATGAGGACCCATTTTGACAATTCAGGAAGACTTGGTGACCCAGGGCAATTCAAAAAATGCGTGAATGACTCCTTACGAGCCACCTGGGGAGACACCTGGTGACCCTCTTGAAATGTAATGGCGACCCATATTTGGGTCCCGACCATAGGTTGGGAAACCCTGGTCTACCCTGTTCTTAAAACCCAGCAATGACCAAGATTACACAACCTCCCTAGGTAACATATTCCTGTGCTTAACTACCTTTAGGCATTAGGAAAAATTCCCCAGTTCTAATCTAAATGTCTCTTGCTGCAATTTAAGACATTATTTTTGTCCTATCTCCAGTGATTAAACAGAATAATTTATCACCATCCTCTTTATAACAACTTGTTACATACTGGAAAATTATCATGTGCCCCTCTGTCATCTCTTCTTCAAACTAAAACTCAGTTTCAGTCTTTCCTAGTAGTCATGCTTTCTAGACCTAATCATGTTTGTTGCTCTCTTTTGGACTTTCTCCAGTGTGTCCATCTTTCCTGAAGTGTGATGTCAGAACTGGTCACATCAGTCCAGTTTTGAGGCCTTGTAAGTGCTGAGTAGAGTGGAAGAATTTACTACTTATGTCTTGTTTACAACACTCCTAGCTAATACATCCCAGAACCCAGGCCTTTGTTTTAACTAGATCACATTCCTCTTTGCTTTCTATGTTGGTGTCTTAAGTTTGTTTAATTTAGCAGGATGGCTGTGGCTAACAGGAGCTCAATGCTTTATATTCAATATAAAACCTGGGTCTGATCTTGCAAAGCAATGAGTGCTTTAACTCTCATTGAAAGTGTAAGGTCTATTGTGAATTGGTTTGCTTTTCAAATACAATTAAGTTTCAATTACACATCAGAATAGATCTTAAAGCCATCTCACGCTAAAATTAAGAGTGCCTAATGTGTTTGTTCTTCTGTAGGATGGTACACTCCTCCAAAAGAAGATGGTTAATATTGTGGACTATGGACACCTGGACCAATGTCAAACAGCTCTTTTTTATTTCTTTCCAGCACACACACACACACACGCGCACACAGACTCAAGCTATGAGTGCCCCTATAACAGCTGTACTGAAGACTTTAGCTATTAGGTAAATTAGTGGATTATCATCTGTCAACTGATAAATCCAATATAATTTACAGCCTTACCATTTCACTCTTATTAGATATCTTGGACTGAGCAGTTTTGGCCTTTACTGTATTTGTCCCTATGGATTAAGCATATTTGGGCCACTCCCTCTCTTCTCCTTTTTGTTTAAAAGTGCAAATTTTTTAAAGCTGGTTATTGAGTTACTAGAAGTTCATTCAATAGTAGTCACTCACTATTTCTTACCTTTTGCAGAATGTGGACTGCAGAGACTTGCATTGTAATGTTTCATTTAAAGCCAACAAAGTTTAATACATTGTTTAATACTGTTTTAGGAAATTTCAGGTCTTGTAAATCACAGTACTTTTTCTGGTCTAAAATGAAAATATTTGTAGTATTGCCAAATTAATGATATAGGAAAACAACATGTAAAGTCATTAAACTTTTTCATGACTATGTGAGGACATGAACTGTTTCTTGGAAGAGATGCTCATAATTAGATTGTTGCATTTTTAAGCAGAACAAGGCTGTGCCAATAAAACCATGTAACTAGTCACTTCCACTGGGGCATCAGAATCTTGCTGGGCTGTTCCTGCTACTTGTTGGCTCAAGCTACTTAAAAAAATGGAGCCAGAGTATGAAGCTTGAAGTTATTTAAGATACTAAAAATCTTTTTAGGTGTTCCATTTTATTAACGGGTTGTTGCAATCATTTGTAAACTAATAAACTTAAAAGTGATTGGCACAAATCAGAACGAAAATCCTTGAACAAAAGTTTTTATATAAAAGTTACAATAAAATACAAAAAAGACATCACCTGATTCAGATTTGTAGAAATAATGTTGAAATAATGTAGAAATAATCATGATAGTACTTTTTGTTATCGAAAGACTAACAGGAACTATTATTTCATTATTTTGGAAATGAATCTGGGTCTGTGTAATTACTATATTTCATTGCCTTATCTAAATCAATTCTATTTTGGTTGTAGTATTAGTGATTAGACCTTTGTACTGCCAGGGTATGATATAAGGGTGTGTACCATGGATTAAGCACTTTTTTTTTTTGCCCAGAAGCATGTGGGTTTTTTAAGTTACAGCTATCAGATTTGTGCTCTTCTTTTCTCTATCAGACACACATGAGGCCTTGTGCATTTGCTTCTAGATCCAGTTTTTAGCTTGAAAGAACAGATGAAGGAATTTGGCACTACTCCTGATAAGTACTCTTTGTTTCAAATAGTTTTCTAGGGAGCATAGTGGATGACTTGCCAGCCTTTCTGCATACTTGGTTGTACATATATTCATATGCAATCTTGGTAGCCAGTTGCTCGGACAGCAACCTTAAGAGAGAGGCAGAACACTTTAAGCATTAAAAGTTCCTTAAAAGCTGAGGCTAAAATCTTTGAATACATTATTAAATTCTTTAATATTCTAATGGGCTAGCAGGTTGACAGATGCACATTTGGCATGCTTTGTTTTGAATTTCATTTTTCATTGCAGAATTATTTGGCAATGTACAGTAATTTGTAAACTTGCATCAAGTTTATGAATAAAGAACCATTTTAAGAATTATTCTGTTTGTGGTTAGTCTTCAAATATAGACAGCTTTCTGTTCATAAACATACATGTGTGTGTTCCCAACCAATGCAATTCATAAAAAGGAAAAACTGGTCAACAGGTTAAAAACACTTTGAATTTCAGGCTCATGAGCACAGGTGTAAAATAATCCTGTGAAAAGCTCCATTAAGTATATAGACTAGGGCATTCTGCACTAGATAATGTTCCTAAATTGTCTTTAGGTTAAGGATGTTAAGTAACTACTCGACTAATTCATATGCAGGGGTTCTTGTGTATTTCAAAGTGACAATGCAGCATGGAGTCCGGGGTCAGTAGGGGACTCGAGTCCCCCGCTGACCCCAGGCTCCATGCTGTGGTGCCAATTGGAAATGCCACGTGGAGCCGGGGTCAGCTGGGGACTGGGTATTTGCTTATTGGATAGTCAACTAGTCCTTAACATTCCTACTTTAGGTATGGGCCCATAAAATGCATTATAGTCTATAGACTGAGGAACCTATGACCCAGCTTGCCAGGATCCAGCCCCGAGACTCAGGACTTCTTCCCCCCCAGCAGTGGGGAGCCTCTGCTGGCACTTCAGCCCCTGCTGCCCCCTGCCTGCCTGACTTTTCTATGAGTCAGCGGCCCTGACCCAAAAGGGTTCCCCACCTTTGGTCTAAATATAAAAATCACATGGATCAATGGTAATAAGGCCCATAAGGAGTCGAGGGCGGGGGGAGAGATTGACTTGCCCAGCCACAGATGAGAAGTATTCCACTGCTGCTACTTTATCCTCTAACATCAAAGGGACTTTCAAACTGCATGTCTCATTAACCAACAAGACTACATCTACACTGCAAGGTTTTTGCGCAAAAGCAGCTGTTTTTGCACAAAAACCCGTGGAGCAGCCACACCTCAAATGTGCTTTTGTGCAAGTAAATTAACCGTAAAACGGCAGAAGGGAGGGCTTTTTCCGGCATAGGTAAACCTCCTTTTACGAGGCATAACTCCTTTTTGCGCTACAGCTATTGTGCAAAAAGGCTAGTGTGGATGCTCCAGAGGGGTTTCTTGTGCCTGTGGGAAAAAGCATGGCCATAAACATGGCCTTTCTGTGAATGGCAATCAGAGCTTCCTTGCGCAAGAGCATTCATGCAGTGTGGACACTCTCTTGCGCAAAACCACATCACTTTTGCAATGTGCTTTGAGGTGCGGACGTGCTTTTGCATAAGAAATTTTTGTGCAAAAACTCTTGTGCAAAAGGCTTCTTGTGCAAGAAGCCTGCAGTGTAGATGTAGCCCAAGTGAGCAAATGGAAGGAAAGCAATCAGATTCAATCTTTCACCTCTTTCATTTCACTTTCCTCCCCATCCAGACACCTTAAACTTTCTTGGAATCAAGCCTCCCATTGCAGCCTTTATCTAATTCCTCTGATCTTGCTAGGAAAACCAGAAACCTACTGTCACAGACAGAGCTGAAAATCATTAGCACAGCAGCCAAATTACCTAATTTGGTAAGTGGAAGCAAACAGTACTGTGCTGCCTCACACTTCCCTTTGTCAAAGAATCCTTGTGTTGAGTTCACAATCTAAATCAGAAACAGGAAACAAAATAATTGTTTTGCAGAAAGATCATATTTGAGTTTGACCCCCATTCACCTTGAAAAAATGGAAAATCTTTCTAAACCTAAAAATTAAAAATGCAGTGAGTGCACCTCAACTCTACTTATAGTGGCAATGTTCTATGGGAATATAGGGCAAAAATGTGTTGAGCTGCATGGGCATGGGAAATGTCACTTTCAATACAGATGTTGATACTAAAGTAACTTTCAAGTTTTACTCTCTGTATAGAAATCTGCATTAAAGGAACATTAACATAGAAACTGCTGACCATTTCTGAAAGTTGTTTGCAATATTGTTGTAGTTGTACTGGATCCCAAGATTATGAGAAAAGGTGGGTGAGATCTTGGAACATCTTTTGTTGGTAGAAGAGATAGATACGCTTTTGCGCTAAACAACAGCTTCTTGGGTTTCTAAAATGACACTTAAAGCATTGATGGGTGCTACAGCTACCCATATCTGCTTCGTCTGCTTTTTTTGTATGTGATATTAAAATTAGTTTATTTTTCACTTCTTTCCTAATGAGCAACTATGCAGTTAGCTTAATCATTACTTCTCTATAAAGTAAAATGTTGTGTGGGGATTGGGACCATTTTAATTTAAAATATGCTGCTGGATGTTTGTGTACCTTTTTTCTTATGCACATAATCAGAAGGCCCGATTAGTGTTGATAAGCTCTAATCCAGCTAGAGCCCGTGCCTTAAAAATCACTCACCTATATATGCAACTAAGGTGATCAGGCATCCTGTTTTGGACTGGGATAACTGGTCACTCCAGTCAGCAATGCACCATTGGATGGCAGGCTTCCTGCTAGCTGCTGCACCATGCTGTGTAGTTCCTGATTGTTCCCAGCCTGTAGGGCTGCAGTCACGGTGTCTGGTGTCCTGCCTCTCAGTCCCTGAAGCAGGGCTGAGACAGAGGAAGCTCCAGACAAATAGCAAGAAGTTACGCAGCAGTCCTGACATGCAGCAGGCACCAGGAGAGCAGATGAGGCAAGGGCAGAATGGGAGATATGACAACAGAGGGGAAAAGGGAGAGGTTTATAACTTGGGTGCCACAGTGGCACACATCTGAACAAGTGCACATGACCTCAATATTGGTACACAAAACTCGCTCCTCATGAATGGAAAATCTTAGAGGGAACACTGCTTTGCACCCATGGGGACTCAGTCTTGGGGGAGGAGTCAAGCAATGGCTCGGTCCTTGAGGATGCCATGGACTGGACCCCTGCAGGACTGGATACCCCGGGATCACCTACCCACCCACCCGGGCCATGCCCAGCCTCCCCCCCCCCCCGGCCTATTCCCAGGGGCCCACTGCTCCAACCTCTCAGAATCCTCTCACCCCCCCCCCCGGGCCAGGCCCAGCCCCCCCCCCCCCCCGGCCTATTCCCAGGGGCACCATGCTCCCATCTCTCTGCTTCCTCTCAGCTGCTCTGCCCCCAGCTTTAGCCCCAGGCACTTCCTACCCCTGGCTAGACACCCTGCCCCTGAATTGCTCATATATCCTCCCTACTAGCCAGACACCCTACCCTCAGGCTGCTTCTGCACCCCTCTCTTGGCCAAACACCCTACCTTCAGCCTGCTCTTGCACCCTCTCTTGCTCCTGCACCTTCCCCCCGTCAGTCTTCCTATTCCAGCCTGCTTTTGCACCCTATTTCCCACCCAAACCTTGCACCCCACCTCCCTCCCAGATTCTGAATCCCTTCCCTAGCCCATCCACGGGCTGCCCTGTCCCACACACTGAACACCTCATTTTCCCCCCACCCCAGAGCCCAAGGGGATCCATAAAATCCACTAACTCTGGAACCACAGGAAAGTAAATCTGGCCTCTGAGAAGCCCTGAACCTTGGTCTTCCCTTCCCCCATGGGGCTTGAGTGCCAGAGGAGTGAGGTATCTCAATTGGGGGCCACAACAGTGAGGGTTTGGGGAATAGCTTTTTTGCTTCTCACTTATGTAGTCCCCACCTGATTTCTCTGTGGGTCAGTGGTCCCCGACACAAAAAATGATTCCCCACAACTGCCATAAAGAAAACACTGAAACCTTTTGTGTTGGACATAAATTAATATTTTATTATTTAAAATGAAGTTTGATAAACATGAGAAAGTTAAATTAAATCAGTTTCCCTAGTTGCAGCACTAGCAAAATGTCTTGGGCAAAATTATGTAATTAACGGTGAGTTTCCATTAGCAACTGGTGGTCCACAGAAAGGTTTCCATTGAGCCAGGTGGTCCATAGGCCAAAGAATTTGAGAACCACTGGCCAAATGATTACACACAGCCCCTTCCATTCTTCCCTGCCCGCTATCTCAGAATCAAAGGTAGCAATGCGCCCAGGGGTGGGGAGAGGCAAGAGTTGGTGCTCATGGGCCGCCTACTTAAAAAAGCTGGCTCCCTATGCCTCCCTCTGTGTAAAGGTGTAGCCACTGTACATTTCAATGGCTTATAAAATAATGAGTTTTTAGCATCGCTAGTAGAAGGGGGTGCAAGGTTTGGGAGGAAATGGTTGGGGAGGGTGCGCATGAAGAGGTTTCAGGTGGTGAGCAGCTGCAGGAGATGGAGCTCCAGGTGCAGGCTCTAAGGCATTTCCTTGGAGGCGGCTGGCAGCTCCACGTGGCGCTCTGCTCTGCACAGGGGAGACAGCAGCACTGCCCCTGCTGCAGCCTCTTCGCTCCCATTGGCGGCCCCCCCTCGGAGAGTCGCCGGAAGCGGTCAGCCTGGAGCTGCTGCGCGGGGTCACGGCAGATCCCGTCCGGCCGTGTCTGCTGCTGCGCGTTCCGGCCCGGGCGGGGTCAGCCACCCCACAGCCGCCTCCACCCTGCTCCGCAGCAGGGAGCAGAACCCAACTTGCCGCGCTAGCCACGCCCACTAGCGAGTCACTCCCCGCGTCATTCATCAGGTCACGTGGCCACTGCTCAGACGCTAGCCGCCGGATCCCGCGCGAGCAGATGACGTGCGTTAGAGGCGGACCGGAAGTGGGCGCCTTACGGATGACGTACTCGGAGTGCGCCGCCTGGGTCGCGAGGAAGGCCGTGGGCGCAGTTGCCATGGAGCTGGACGGCAAACGGGCCTACGTGCTGAGTAACCTGTGCGTGGTGGTGGAGCGGGTCCTGAGCTTCCTGCCCACCAAGGCGCTGCTGCGGGCAGCCTGGTGAGGAGCGGCCTTGGGTTTCCTCTTAGTCCGCATCGGGCCGGGCCTCGCGTCCCCGCTGCTTCCCCCAGACAGCCCTGGCGCCCGGTGCGCAGGTCGGAGCTGCAGGCCCGCCAGGCCTCGTTTCTGAGCAGGCGAGGAATGGGCTCGAGGCGTTTATCTGAGCGGGGAGCGGCTTGTGGGCGGGGCTTGTAACAACGCTTGTCGCGAGTTAACGTTGACGGATTATTTGTGCTCGTCCGATGACAAGTGTTTTCCCCACGAGCGCTCGGGATCCCGTGTCTCCATGTAGAGCAGGCCCTGCCGCGCCGCGGGACTGTGCGTGGCTTTTGGAATCACAGACCAGCCCGGCTACCCCCGAAGCGCTTTGGGTTCTTCCAGTAAATGCTCTTCTCTAGCAGCACAGCTGCTTTGGTTAGCAGAGCTGCAACACAAACCACGGAAGCAGGAGTTTTGTGGTTGCTTGACACATTTCTTTTAAAACTAACTATGTTACATGAGCCAAGGGCTTCTGAATGTTTCAAATCAACATTTTTCTTTTTTGAAGAAAAACATCACTGTGTTCTTTACATACATTGAGTTTTGTTGGCACTGAATTCTTATAAGGAGTCAGAAGAATAGATTTTGTGACCAAATCTAATGATACAAGAAAAAATACTTTTTTGAGAATACAAGGAGTATGCGGTCCTTTCAATATTTTTAAAAAAGTTACATTATCTGGACTTTTAACACCATTTTGTTTTACTGATTTATATATTTGAGCTGTAGAGAGGAGCTGAGAATGAATTATTCAATATGCCCTTTTGACCAGCATCACCATTATTTGCTTAATTTGTTCTGACTGGTACTGAATTAGGTAGTCAAAATTGACAGCATTTTTTTAAATCGGAAACAACTCTTAGGACAATACCCATACAAATAATGCAGTCAGTTTGTGCTTTAATAAAAATTAGTAGAAAACTAATCCACTGTTTATACCAGGGCTACTCAATTTGGAAGCCCCGGCAGCCACAATCATACAGCACATGCTGAGGGCTGCCACTCAAGTGTGGTTGCACGTACATGCAAATATATATGCAAATACATGCAAATAGCTTCTTTCACACTGATGGACAGGAATACAAAGATTTAGGCAAGACTGCACAATGTGCAGGCCCTATTTAAGTCAGTTGCGCTGATATTAATAAAATTCAATAGTTACCATCTTTCCACAGCACTTTTAATGAGCAATGGCAGTCCAGGAATTTAACAACTAAAATGCATATCAACAGAAGATCGTTATATTGGTTTGCCATTATGGAGCGTGTTCCCAGTGCAGGCCATGTTCAAAAGATCCCACCCGCGGGCCGCATGTTGAGCCCCGCGTAAACCCAAACTGTACTGCAGGCTGCAGCCCACCATGTGTTAAGTAGCCCTGGTTTTTACACTGTTTTAAACTTGAAATTTTTTTTTAAGGGTAAGATTTTCTCAAGAATGTGGGTAGACACTTAGAAGTCAACAAGAAAAAAATGGTTAACAGCTGCTAAGTTTTTGTTTTGTGTATTGTAGTAAAGCTTTGTATTTCAGTGTTTGCCGTTTGTGGAGAGAATGTGCCCGTAGATTACTGAGAACACAGCAGAGCATAGAGTGGGTCTCTGCACTTGAGCCTGGTCCATCTGATAGTCATTCACTGGTCCGTGCATTAGCTGAAGAACTTGAGGTAGGTAAAATACCATTGTTAATTATATACATTGCAATGGCCAATGTGAATTTCTAGCTACTGTGGTACAATGGGGATGTTAGATGGCAGGTAATAAAATAGTCAATTAACCACATGAATTCTTAGTGATTAGTTGACTATTCTGTGGTACCTGTGGGGCAGGGCTGGCAGTCAGTGCAATCCGGACCCACTCTCTGGGATCCCCTGCCATCCTGCATTGCTGGACTGGAAGGTTGAGTGGTGTGGCTGCTCTGGTGGGTGTGGCAGGGGCCACGGCCAGGGCCACATGGGAAGCAGCTGCTCTGCTCTGGAGGCTGGAGCTGCCTGAGAAGTGACTTCCTCTGGCCACTCGATCGGCCAGGGTGGAAGCCAGGACTGTGTGGGAAGCATTTCCTCTGGCTGCTTGGGCGACTGGGGCCAAGTGGGGAGTAGCTGTGCTGGTGGCTGGGATCTTGCCATTTAAATCTGTCATCTTAATTGTACATACTAAGGGAAAGAAGTAGCTTTGAATAAATCAATTTTTTAGCCCCACGTTATTTTGTTGTTTCTGGCTTAACAAATACTTGTTTTTAAAAGTGGGAATGTTTTGTATTTATACATATTTAAACATTTAATTGTATGTAAATTGAAGAAAGTATTTAAAAATCTGCTTCTCAGGAAGTATGATTCAGTGACAAATGCTACTCTAACGACTGATATTTACTGTCCTGAACCGACTACCCTCAGTAATCTAAATTCTGAAGCCTTTTCTTAAAAAAAAAAAAAAAAAAAAAAAAAAAAAAAAAAGGGGGGGGGGGGGGTCTGTGCTGAGCCACCAGGAGGCTTGCACCTGGTATAGGTGGTAGAAATCCCCTGCTTCCTTTCACTGAATTTTCTTTCCTGCTGTTTCCATGCTTAGTTCAGCATCTTGTAAGCAATTTGTGCTTGTGTAGTAAAGCAAACTGCCAGCATGTCAGCTTTTCAATAGACATCTCTTTAGGCATCTATCTGTTCTCTTATTATGTTCAATAATGTGGCATCTGTGGATCTGAAAAAAAATACTGACCTCACTGATGAAGTCAATAGCAAAACTCCCATTAAGTTCATTGTGATGTAGGTTTCATATCTGAGATAAAATGGCCTGCAGATGGATGTGGCTTTGGGGATAGAGTAAGTGTTTATTGAAAATGGCTATTTCTACATGTTTCATTATTATTATTCCTATATACCTGGTTCTAATGTCAGGATTTTACATTAGTAGGGTGCTTCATCCATCTTTATATGTTGACTCCCACAATGGCGTGCCACAGGCTCCTGGCACCACTTCATAGGGTGGGGAAAGGCATGTCCTTACCCGGATGGTGCTTGGCTGTGCCGGTGGGCATCCATGCTGTTTGTGCAGCATTATGCAGTACCAGGTGGCCATGTGAAGAAGAAGGCTGGGCAGGTACTTCCTGTACAAGGAAAACCCAGCAGCTCCAGATCAAATGCAGTGGCATGGAGAGACAGGGCATCCCCTCACCTTCTAGCCAGGAGTTACCATTGGATGCCCTAGAACAGGGGTAGGCAACCTATGGCTTGCAAACCAAACATGGCTCTCTAGGGAGTCAAATATGGCTCTTCTGGAGCCCCAGCTGAGGGCGCCCCTCCCCCAGTTTCCCCTGCAGCATGGAGCTCATGTTGACGCTACAGCGTTATGGCCCCCGCAAGACTCAAACACCAGTACAGCTTCCTGCAGGGAGGGATGGAGGAGAGAGAGCCCCTTCCCTGCTGGATCCGGCATGCAGGGAACAAATAGGCTAGACATGGCTTGGTGTGA